TAATTTATTTCTGAGACAGGCTTTCTCTGGGTAGCTTCAGAGCCTGTCCTGGAACTTGATCTGTAGACCAGGCTGGTCTTGAACTCACATAGATCCCTTCTCTACCTGGATTTAAATTTATATGTTTGTGTATATACACATTACACATACTTATTCTTTTTTAACAGGGAAGGAGAAAGGAAGGCAAGGAATAAATATAAAGGGAGGGAATGGAAGAGGAGATAAGAAAGGGAACACAGCTGGATGGTGGTGGAAAATCCCTTCAGACAGGCAGATCTCTGTGAGTTAGAGGCCAGCCTGGTCTATAAGCTCCAGAACAACCAGGGCTGTTACACAGAAAAATAAATAAACAAACAAACAAAAAACAAAACAAACAAACAAAGGAATGAAATGCACACTTGTCAGGAAAGCTAATGGTAACTAATTGAAGGTTATCTAACAAGGAGAAAGGTTATTGGGGAAGGGGACCAATAAGAACTAAGCATGACACATGGGTAGGGTATGAAAATACCACAAGGAAATCTGTTATTTTACTTTTGTGTGTATGTTTGTGTGTGTGTGTGTGGTGTTGGTTGGGAAAGAACTCATTCTAGCCTAGAATCTCCAACTTGTGTATATCCTAACTCAGCCTCCTAAGTGATAGGTGTGCACTGCTATGCCCAGTTTGAACCTTGTTAGTTTGTATGCTAACTTAAACAATTCAATTCTGGGGGCTGGAGAGATGGCTCAGTGGTTAAGAACACTAGCTGGTTTCCCAGAGGTCATGAGTTCAATTCTCAGCAACCACATGAGCTCACAACCATCTGTAATTAAATCTGGTGCCCTCTTCTGACTTGCAGGAATACATATAGGCAGAATAACAAACAACCTCACATACTGAGTTCTAGGGCAGTTATGGCTATGTAGATAGAACCTGCCTCAAAACAAACCAAACAAAAACCCAATAAATAAATCCTGTCTCTGATCCTTCTCACCCCACTCCTTCTTCTAGGGTCAAACTTTTAGACACTTAGAAAACATTCCAACACTGAGCCACATGCCCAGTCCTTGTTGGTTCTTCAAACAAATGGGTGCTGTCAGGAGGAAGTGAATTTCGACAGAAGGCCTCTTAAGAAGCCACTGAAGAAAATGCAGTCTTGATTCTCAAAGGAGACTTTGTTTTGTTCTTTTTCTTTAAACAAGAAATGTGAGCCCGGCGGTGGTGGTGGCCGTGCACACCTTTAGTCTCAGCATTTGTGAGGCAGAGGCAGGAGGATCTCTGAGTTCGAGACCAGCCTGGTCTACAGAGCGAGTTCCAGGACAACCTCCAAAGCAATACAGAGAAACCCTGCCTCGAAAAACCAAACAAAGAAAAAAGAAAAGAAAGAAAAGGTGGCAAGAATTAGAACCTCAGGGCTGGAGGACGGGCTAGGGATTTGCCTGCCAGTCCCTTGGAAGCTGGGTCCATTTTCCGTCACAAGGCTAAGGCGCCCCTAAATCACACGTGTTTTGAATACCAGGACCAAGCCACCACTCAGAAACTACGAAAACAACTTGACTCCTCCGCAACGCGCACGCGCCTCTCACTGCTTCGGTTGGCCTTAAGCCCCGCCCCTTGTGCGGCCACCGGGAGGGTTGGGATCCGAGAGCTCGCGCGACCGTTCCGTTCTCCCTCAGCCTCCTCCAGCACGGCGTCGCAAACCCGGCCGGAAAGCGCGACGGCGCAGGCGCAGGCGCAGAGACCCGAGGCGGCGGTGGTGGCTGCCGCTGGCCAGTGTAAGATGGCGGCGGCGTTGGTGGCGGCAGTGGACGGGGCGGCTGGGCCTGGAACAGTCGGAGCATCCGCTGGCAGAAGGATGACCCAAGACGGGAAGCGGGCGGCCGAGCCTCGCCGGCTCCCGTGCTTGTAACTGTCCCAGCCGGACACCCTCCCCTTGACCTACCCGGTCCGTGTCTCGTTCCGACTCGGCCTGTTTCCCCGCTCCCTGACCGCTTCCCCGCAGCATGGGCCCGACCCCTTCCCCGAGCTCCCAGGGTTTAGGTCTTCCCCCTCCCGCCCCCCCCCCCACCCCAGTCAGTGCTGGGAGCACTGCTTGTCCTTTGCCCAGGTCAGCCCCGGGTTGCCCCCTGGAGCTACCCCCATAGTTCACAGGGACTTTTCGTTCATCCGGTGACCCATTTGTATGTTCTCGTTTCTTTCTTTATAATCTGAGGACCCGGTTCTGCCTGTGTCTCCCTGTCACTTCAGGGCCACCGCGCAGTGTGTCCCCCCTCCCCCATCCCAAGTTCTCAGGCCCAGCACCTTGCCAAGAAACTGGCAGTCTGTATTTGAGGTCTGGTCTTGGACGCTTTGTGATAGAATTCTCTTAGTGTGCCTCCCCCTGTCCCAAAATCTTTTAGGACACCTTAGAACGGCCCCTCTCGGTCCTTATTAGTTGGAAAGCATCTGGCGGCTTGAATTTCTGACTCATATGATTGTTGGTGGAGTCTGTAAACAAACCGCACTAGCGCTATCACATTCTCCCCCGGATTCCTCCCCCCTCCCCCTTTCCTCTGTAGCTCCTGGACGAGAGGTGGTTTGTTTTACAGTTGAGAAGTTGCAGGTTTTCCTCATAAAAGACTTCCTAATGTTGGTGGAGCTGGGAGATAACTCGCCTGGCGTTTAGGTCTTGTGTTAATTCTTTGCATTTACATTCCGTGTATGGGTTTTTTGTTCAGTAGTCCGAATTAAGTTCTTTTGGTTTTAAGTAGTTCTGAGGAGGGCTGAAAAATAGTAAAGTGTGGTCATAAATGTTTTGACTACGTTCAGAAGAAGAGACAGCTTTGCCATGTAAACTTTAACTTTTCTCAGTTCTTCAGTGAACCTCCAGACCCGTTTTCTCAGGAGCCAGCCTGGCCTTACGTCATTGATAAAAGGAGGAAAGGTGAGTAGGGGAGTGGAAGACCTTCAATTCCTCAATTCAGGACAGACTTTCCTGATGCTCAAGTGCAGACCACTAAACTCAAGAATTTTACCACCGTTTCCAAAAGTTTGGATATTGTTCATAACTTTGTTCCAGCTTTGGTTCAGTTAATCTACTGTGTTTTGACCAGCTGCCCTAAACTATTGCCATGTGTTTTCAAATGATTTGTGTTAAGCCTAGAGTGAACACGCTGCCTCTGTTGTTTGTTCATTTACATTGTGTTTTGTCTTTGTGTGGATAATGTCTTATGTTGTTAAAAATTGAGAATTGGTTTGCCTGAATTGTCTAGTCTTTTTTATTTTTATTTATTTTTATTTTTATTTTTTATTTTTTTTGGTTTTTCAAGGCAGGGGGTTGCTTTGGAGCCTGTCCTGGAACTTGTTTTGTAGGTCAGGCTGGCCTTGAACTTACAGAGATTCCACTGCCTCTGCCTTCCTGGTGCTAAGGATTAAAGGCAGTTAGGTTTTTGTCAAATCAGATCTCTTTTCCCAGACCCAAAAGTTATCAAACATGCCATAGGAGTGATGAGTGAGCTTCCATTTAATTGGTGTCCATTTAGTCTCAGAGGTCCAACTTTTCAAAGCACAGTGGGAAGTTTTTGGTTAAAAGTATCTCCTTTGTAGCTAGCTTGCAGAATTTTTGATTAGTAGAAACAGCATATGTGTGCTGTCTTCAACATGGGCCAAGCCAAAGAGTTAGGAAATAGTTGTTTAAGTGTAGCTTTGTAAGGCTTTAGGTTTCTGGTAACAGATAGCAGAACTGTTCTCGAGACTCAGGAGCTCTAATAGAAAAGCTAAGTGGCTCTGTAAGGTAGGCCTGACCAGTTCTTAGTAGGAAAACTTGAGAGTGACTATGTTAAGTTTTATTCACGGTGCCCAAACTAGAAAATGTTCATTGTGAACTAAAAGAAAAATGTTAATGCTAGCCTGGCCGTGGTGGCACACGCCTTTAATCCCCTCCTGTCACTCAGGAGGCAAAGGCAGGCGGATCTCCGAGTTCCAGGACAGCTAGAGCTATTACACAGAGAAACCGAAAAAAAAAAAAAAGTTAATGTTGATGTATATATGTAAGACTAAGACTAAAAGTACAGCTTTAATATGTAGTTTTATGTGTATTGTTGTTTTACCTGCATGGCTACCTGTGCACCACTTGCGTGACTGATAGAAAAGGAGATGATGTCCTGGAACTGGAGGTATAGATGATGGTTGTGAGCTGCCATGTGGGTATTGTGAATCAAATCTGGGTCCTCTGCAAGAACAGTCAGATGCTCTTATTCACTGAACCATTTCTCTGGCCCGTTTATTTGGTTTTTGAAACAGGAACTTACTTTATCCTGGGCTAGCCTAAAATTTGTTATGTAGATCAGGCTCATCTTGCAAACTAAGCCTTCTCTAGCTTCCCAAGTGCTTGGTGTACAGATGTGAGGCACTGTGCATAGGTAATATTTTCATGTTTTTGTTTTAGCACTCATCTTTCTAGTTTTTTTGTTTTGTTTGGTTTTTGCTTTTTGGTTTTTTGTCTTTTGTTGTTTTTTTTAAAGAACTGGGAGACTAGGCTGGTATTGGTAGTGCACACCCTTAATCCCAGCACTTGGAAGCAGAGTAGGTAGATATCTGTGAGTTTGAGGTCATCCTAGTCTTCCAGGAAGCCAGAGCTACATAGTGAGACCCTATCTCAAAAAAAAAAAAAAAAAAAAAAAAAAAAAGAACAAAATCTTTGTTACTGAGCCACAGCCTCAGTCCCTCAGATTTATTTCTAAGATTATGATCTGTATCTGTGTGATAATTTTTGCATGTGAGGGCAGTGCCTGTGGAGGCTAGAACAGAAGGCACCAGATTCCCTGGAGCTGGAGTTATAGCCTGTTGTGAACTGTCATGTGTGGTGGTATATTTATGATTTATTAAAACTTAGCAAAGTCAGCCACAAGCCATACCAGCTAGCCTGGCAGTGGTGGCACATACCGTTAATCCTAGGATTTAAGTTTAAGAGGTAGATGGTTCTCTGTTAGTTCAAGGCCACACTGACTACAAGAAGTTGATCCAGTCCTAAAAGAAACAGCTTACACAAAGGTGATCTCAGCACCTGGAGTCACACACCTTTAATCCCATCTCTAGAGAGGTGGAGACAGGAGTGATATGGCTGGACTGAGAAAAGAATAAAAGGGAGAAGACAGGAACTGAGAGCTTTTGCCTTTGAGGATTCTTGGAGACAGGATTGCCATTTCAGCTTGGTAGAGGTAAGGTCTACTGGCTTGGCTGCTTTGCTTCTCTTGTCTTCAGCTTGAAGCTTGAACCCCAATACTGTCCCTGGGTCTTTTTAAATTTTTTGTGCTACAGTCATGTGGTTTCCAGAAACCGAACTTAGATGCTTTGCAAAAGCATCAAGCACTTTAATTGCTGAGCCATCTCCAGTCCTCTCAAATTATTTAATTGTTCATATCAGATGTTTGCTGTGTAAATGCTCACATAGGATGTCTCTTAAATTTGATTTCTGAACATAGGAATAGGGAATGTTTGTATATGTGTATTTCTAAATGCATTTCTCCCCCCAACAATATTTCTCTGTGTAGCCCTGGTTGTCCTGGGACTTGCTCTATAGACCAGGCTGGCTCTAAATGCATTCTTAAACTAAGCATCAATATTTATTTATTTGTTAATGTATTTGCTTAATTTTGGTTTTTCGAGGCAGGGTTTCTCTCTATAACAGTTCTGGCTGTCCTGGAACTCTCCTTGTAGATCAGGCTGGCCTTGAACTCAAGAGAAATACACATGCCTCTGCCTCTGCCTCCCAAGTGCTGGAATTAAAGAGGTGAGCCACCACCTTGCAATCATCAATAAATTTTTTTTTCATTGATTTTGTCCCCTTTGTTAGCATACCTTATCAGAGTATATTCTAATTCCTTCCCCTTCTGCTATAATGTCCACTGGTTCTGTAACTAGTCCCTGTGTGATTCACTTTTGCTATAAAAGGGATACATTTTCTCCAAGATGATGAGCCCTGTGATGAGACTCACCAACAGATTATTAGGAATGTGATAGAGAAATACTTTCTGCTGGGTGGTGGTGGCACAGCCTTTAATCTCAGCACTCTTTGGGAGGCAGAGGCAAGGAGATCTCTTGAGTTCAAGGCCAGCCTGGTCTACAGAGTGAGTTCCAGGACAGCCTCCACAGCTATTCATAGATGCCCATTCTCAATTAAAAAAAAAAAAATTGTGTTGGAAATACTTTCTTTTTCTAAAGTGAATCAGGGATCTTTTCATCTTGAAGCTACACCAGTGCAGATGAAGAATTTTAAACCTTTTCTTGATTTGTTTTTCCACATCTGTTTTGGAAGAGTCAAGGATTTACAAAAGTTGAAGTTTGATCACAGTGTAGTGTAAAGGCAACTTCATTTAGACCAGTGTATGTGGTTCATTTTTATTTATTTTGGTTTTTCGAGACAGGATTTCTCTGTGTTGTTTTGGAGCCTGTCCTGGAACTAGCTCCGTAGACCAGGCTGGCCTCGCCTGTGCCTCCCCAGTGCTGGGATCAAAGGCGTGTGCCACCAACGCCCGGCTATTTTGTGTTTTTTTAGGGTTGATTAACTTTTATTACCACCACCCAGGGGCTAGATTTCCTATAGTAATGCCAAGATCTTGGCAGTGGTCATGAGTTAGGCATTTGTATTTTATGAGATCTGGAGGTTTTGTTGCATGAAGAGGGTGGAGGAGAAAAGGAAATAGTTTGAAAGAATAACTTGACTATCTGTCCCTCTCTGCTCTTTTTTACTGGGTAAGGGCACTTCACCACCCACTCCCCAAACCTGCAGGAAAGATTTTAGGTAACTCCTTGTATGCATTGAATCATATTTTTAGCCTATGTATCACAGCTGTAAAATTCTTGTCTTTCTAAAGATATTTCAGGGTTCTAAGTATCTAAGGAACAAGGATTTTTTTTTGTTCTTTCTCTCTTCTAAAGATGGACTCTTCGTGTAGCTCTGCTTGGCCTCAAACTCAGTATGTAACTGAGAATGACCTTGAACTTCCAGTCTTAGGCAGCCTCTATCTTGCTAATGCCATCACAAACCTGTACCACCATCCTCAGTTTATCTTGAGCTTATTGTGTATCCCAGACTGATCCTAAACTCACACTACTACTACTCCTGTCTCAATTTTGTGAGTGCTAGGATAATAATGTGGGTGACCATGCCTGGCACTAGAAGCTTTTAAAAATCAAATGACTAGTTAAGCTGTGTTGTCAGTAGATTTGCTACTGTATTCTTGCTGTATAAAAATTACTTTAAACATGTCTAGGAAATATCTAGATTATAAAGTAGCAACAAGGATACAATCTCAACACTTAGGAGGCAGGGGCAGGGGCAGGCAGATCTCTGTTCCAGAACAGTTAGAAGTTTTTACTATATAGCTTTGGTGTTAAAGTTGTTTTTTTGTTTTGCTTTAATTTATTTTTTTTTTTTTTTTTTTTTTTTTTTTTTTTTTTTTTACACATTTTGTATATGTTGGTATTTTGCCTGCATATATGCCTGTGTGAGGATGTTGGATCCTGGAGTTACAGACAGTTGTGAGCTGCCATGTGGGTGCTAGGAATTGAACCTGGGTCCTCTCAAAGAGCAGTCAGTCAGTACTCTTAACCTCTGAGCCATCTGTTCAGTCTCCTAGAGTTGTCTTTAATTTTATCTGTCTATCTGTCTCTCTATCTGCCTACGAAGTTAGTTTTTAAGTCTTTGGGATTGAGCTTGCCCTTTTCTTTTCTTAACTGATCATCAGTAAGCTGCGATAATCTGTTACTCACCTCCCCTATTTAGAACTGGAGTACCTGAGTGAATGAGCTTAGCAGTAGGCATGGGAATCTTAAGAGAACTGAGTGTACAATAAGTCCCATTACTTGTAGTTTGGATTTTTTTTTTTTTTGTCAGCCATGAGATTGATACTGATTGACAAAGTACAGAATTAAATAGTTCATGAGTTTTAAATTGTGTGCTTTTCTGAGTAGCAAGATGGAATCTACCCCAGCTTTCCTGAGACCTGAATCACTTCAGGTTCTGTATCTAAGTTGTATTAGTTACTCATTACCTATTATCAGACTACTCCTGCTATAATAGTGTCTGTGTTCAGGTAAATGGCCCCCAAATGTAGAATAGTGATGCCAGCAACTCAAATTACAAAGAGCAGCTATAAATGCTTCCTTTAAATGAAGAGGAAAATTTCCAGTAAGGTAAAGGTAGGTACATGCCTGTAATACCAGATATTCAGAAGGCTGAGGCAGGAGAATCTTGACTTCAAGACCAGCGTGGGCATCCTAAGTGCTCCCCAAGACCCCCTCTCCCCAAAGAATAGAACAAGAATCTGTGGTTTCTAAGATATAAAATAAAGTAGCATCAGGGAGATACCACACTGCATTTATATTGGTATATATATATATATATTTTTTTTTAATACTTTATTTAACTTTATTGTATGTATGTTTGTGTGAAGGTGTCACATCCCTGAACTGGAGTTGCAGACAGTCATGAGGTGCCATGTGGGTTGTGGGAACTGAACCTGGGTCCTCTGGAAGAGCAGCCAGTGCTCTTAACTGCTGAGCCATCCCTCCAGCCCCTATATTGGTATATTTTTTTTTTAAAAGATTTGTTTTTAAAAAGTTATATTTGTGTTGTGTGACAAAAGTTTTCCTGGGGAGAAAAACATAGATCTACTCACCTCAGATAGGGAGTCTACCACAGACCACAAAGTATGGGTCTGGGTACCACCAAAATCTAGCCTGCAGGAATATGTGTGAGAGGTGACTTGAGGAGCAGAGTAACTTAAAGGCAGGGTTTTCCTATGTAGCTCTCGCTAGCCTAGTGCTGTTGTGTCTGTGCCTCTTAGGTGGGAGACAGGCCTCCTGCTTCAGTCTCCTCTGAGTGTGGAGATTACAGGCATGTATTGCCATGCTCAGCTTCCTGTTGTTTCAAGCTGTTTATTTTTATTTTAAGTAGTATATTTGGAGTCATACCTTTTCATTTCTGTAATTTCCTGTTTATTGATAAAAGAAAAACTGAAGTGTGAATGACTAACAGTGGTAATGGGGACAGAATTCTGATGGAAAAGGTAAATCAGAAAGGGAACAGTTGAGTAGATGATCCCTTATGGTCACTTAAATTGATAAATGGGTTTGACTTTTCTAAAAAGTCTTTTAGTTTTTTGAGACAGTTTCTCCGTGTGTAACAGCCCTAGCTGTCCTGGAACTTGCTGACCTCTAACAGATCTGTCTACCCCTGCTTCCTGAGTGCTGGGCTTAAAGTCATAGAGTGCATTCTTAACATGCTCTAAAGCATTGTCACTAGAATTAAAGCCTAAGAGTATTAAGCACTGGCATTTGATGTTATATAACATAGAGAATGGGACATTAATCCAAAGAATAGTTTCTTTCTTACCTCCTCCCTTTAATAAAGTGATAGGCTCTCATGTAGTCCAGTCTGGACCTTAAGTTAGTTGAGAATGATCTTGCCTCTACCTCCTAAAGATGTAAGTGTGAGCCACCAGTATAGACTTGACTGAAAGTTAACTGAATCCTAGTGTTTTATGATCCTTGGATGGGGAAACACACTTGTTAGCTTGGCCCCCAGGAGACTGAGGCAGGAGGGTCTCTTTGAGTTTAAGACAAACCTGGGCTAAAATAGCAAGTTTCAGGTCAATATATGCTACATAATAAGTAAGACCTCGTCTCAGTTGCCACCCCCTCTCCCCCAAGAAAACACACACACACACACACACACACACACACACACACACACACACACACACACACACACACACACACACGAGAGGGAGGGAGGAGAGTGTTATGTGCCCCCTAGGGTAATTCTATGAGATTTTTTTGGTTTTGGTTTTTCGAGATAGGGTTTCTCTGTATTGTTTTGGAGCCTGTCCTGGAACTAGCTCTGTAGACCAGACTGGCCTCAAACTCACAGAGATCTGCCTGCCTGTGCCTCCGAGTGCTCGGACTAAAGGTGTGCGCCACCAGTGCCCCTCTTAAGATCTTTGTGTTTCTTTATAGTGGTGGAAATAAGAGGAAACATGAATAATTTGAAATCTTTGGTTTGGTTTGGTTTTTCTGAGAGAAGGTTTTTCTGTGTATCCCTGACTAGCCTGGAACTTGCTCCGTATGGATCAAGCTGGCCTTGAACTTGGTGATTGCCTCTGTGTCCTGAGTGCTGGACTAAAGGCATGAACCATCATTTCCAGTGAAGTATTTTTGTCCTTGACTTTCTTCACCCTTTCTGTCACCACTTGTCTTTTCTCTAAGGATAGGTATTTCCTAAGATTCTTGCCTCAGACTTCCTCTCTTAAAGCATAGATACTCTTAGGTACTGATTTGGTTTGTTTTTAGTAATGTTTAGTTTACTAGGTATCTGATTTTGAAGTTTCTATTTAGATAATTTGTAAGAGTATATCTAGTTCTAATTTATTATGTTGGCCGTATGTATGTGTGTGGGGGTAGGCATGTGCCATGATGTTCATGTGGAATCCAGGGAACAACATGCATCCAGGGAACAACATGCCAGAGTTGATTGCCTCCTCCTATCACGTGGGTCTAAGTTTGACATCCACTGCACTGGTTCTCACTCCCTTTATAACATGTCTGCTTGGATGAGAATTAGGCTTCTGGGTGCCAGCTTGTCATTTGTGGCATTTGATTTCTGTGCTCAAATGTCTTTTTAACTGTTCGTTTTAGAACTGTTTATAAAGGCACTGTCTATCCAGTGTTTCTCATGTTCATTCCCCAGTATTTCAATGTACCACCAGTCATAAGATAGACTCTTCGCAACTATAATAGCTTTTAAACTTGTTTCTCCTTCAATTTCAGATTGTCTTATCTTTTTTTTTTAAAAGATGTATTAATATATTTTACATATATAAGTGCTCTGTCGACTTTATGCCAGAAGAGAACATCAGATCCCATTACAGATGGTTGTGAGCCACTATGTGGGTACTGGGAATTGAACTCAGAACCTCTGGAAGAACAGCCAGTGCTCTTCATCTCTGAGCCATTTCTCCAACCTGTCTTACATCTTTGACAAAATAACCTTCTGATGACCCACAGGCAAGCCCTGTACTTTTTTCTCATACTATGGAGAGAAGGCCAGGCCAGGACCTTGTGGATGCTCAGCAAGCACTGCACACAGAGCATCCTGGTGGACTAGCTCTTCCTGAAGTTAACTGAAGGACTCATACTGTTTCCTTGAATTTACTGGGTTATTTTATTTTTTCTTCTGGGCAGTCAGAGTATCATTGCCATCTTCCTCATCTTTCTCCTCTTTGAAATTTTATCCTGCTTTTAAGGCAACTTAAAAACTTGTTTTCCCTTCTTACCAAAAGTGAAAATAGCACTTTAGTTTCTTTGTTTCTCTGTGTAACAGCCATGGTCATCCTGGAACTCACTCTAGACCAGGCTGACTTGGAACTCAGAGATCCACCAGCCTTTGCCTCCTGAGTGCTGGGATTAAATAAAATCTGACACTTTACTCTCCTTAATGGTAACATTTTACTAATTAAATTACTTTTCTTTTTGAGGGAGGGTCTCATTGTGTAGCTAATGCTGATCTCAAACTTGTAATTTATGATTGCCAGCTTTAGTCTCTTGTATTTATTTTTAATCTTGATATTTGTATCTTTTGTATTATAATTGCATAGTTACTTTTCCCAGTTGATTAGTTGGCTATACAAGGGATTATGGATGCATTATTTATATTATATAGGTATGGTGGCCTATATCTTTAATTCCAGTACTCGGGAGGAAGAGGCAAGCAGAACTCTGAGTTCAAGGCCAGCCAGAATTACATGTTAAGCCTCTTTAAATAATAATAAAAAAATGTTTTTAGCGTTATTGCCTGGCACATTGTTACCAGCTTGTTTGTGTACAGATGGACTACTTAATGATGCAAGAGACTTACAGTGTGGATGGGTTATCTAGCAACTCTGTATAGTTGGGTTGCTTTGTGCTGTCAGATTTTTGCACAAAAAAATAAATGTTAATTTATCTGATTCCTAGATGTTAGTATCCCTGATCATGAAATACCCAATTTTCCTTCTGTTCCTGCATTGAATATACAAAAGGAGAAAATATTGGTTATTCATCCCATCCAAATATTTAATAATTGAAAGTAGTTCAAAGCCCTCATTCCATAAACATTTGTTTTTTCAGTTATTATTTATTTATTGAGGTAGGACCTCACTATATAACCCAGGTCTGACTCCTGGAACTCACAGAGATCCACCTGCCTCTGCCTCCTGAGTGCTGAGATCAAAGGTGTGTACCACCACACCTGGCCCCATAAATATAACTTACGTGATGTGTCTCTCTTGCTTTGAATTTCAGTGCTATTAGGATAATAAATAGTATATACTATGAGAATGTAACTGGCAGTATTAACTAGCAAATTGGCTTGGAGGATTATTTGTTATTGAAGAAAAATACTAAAGTGAGTGAGAAAATAATTTAATTTTAAAGTTTATTTTTCGGGATAGGCCATCTTTTAAAGCTCTCTCTGGAGACTAGGCTTGTCTCAAACTCACAGAGATCCATCTGTTTGCCTCCTGGGTGCTGGAATTAAAAGTGTGGACCACCACCAACTAGCTTAATGTCTTTATTTTTTGAAATTAAGATATAATTACTATTATGTAAGGGAGATAATATTCTCTCTTTCTTTTTATTCTCTCCAACCCCTTCCCTCACATTCATGGTCTCTTTTTTCCTTATAGTTTTGCTCACACACTTCTAAATATGTAAATATAACCTGTTCAATCTGTTTAATGTCACTTGTGTGTATGAGTTCAGGTCTGATCACTTGGTATTGGATAATGAATTTGAGGGCTTTTCCCTGGGGAAGACTATTTCTCCTGCTGTCCTTTTCTCCTGTCAGGGTTCCTTTGTTTCCTGATCTTTGTCTAGTGCTGGGGCCTGGTAAGGCTGGCTTCCCATTCCATGTTAACATGTCTATTGGTGTCATCTTTGTTCAGCTCTTGTTTAGGCAGCCACACTGATGAGACTTCATGGGTGTATCTTCTGAAGTTTCTAGAATAGGTGATCATGTGGTATCCAGTTCTAGCTGATATATTTACAACACAGTTCCTCACCTAAGACTTAGAGATATCATCTGGGATAGGGGCCAGATTGTAAGAGCTAGAGGAAAATTAATTTTTAAATGAGACATTTTTGTTTAAAACAAGAATTGATAATAAAGAGAGGAAGACTAATTCCAGATGATGATGGAATCTAGAAAAGCAAATTCATACTTGGGTGGAAATTATTGTTGAGCAGCTGTTGTATTGTTGGATTATAAGCCACGTAGGACATCTGTCTTCTCAGTGGGGACTGAGAACTATGTGGCTTAGAAATAAATACCTGTCTTACTAATAATTGAACTTTTGGAGCATCACCTTTTAGTTTCATTTAAAAGTAGATATTTAGGTAGGAGATTTGTTAGTTGCATAGCAGAATGAGACATGGATTGGCCTGGGAGAATGCTGGGAAAATAAGAAGTCATAAGAACTGACTAAAACTGAGTTCTTAGTGAAAGGATCAAGGACAGTACCTATTGTAATGTTACTTAGATGTTTCTAT